GGTTGTAGGCACATCCCCAGTGGGGAGTGTGCAGGAGGCAGCTGATCGCTGTTTCTCTCTCATCGATGCTTCTAACTCTCTATCTCTCTCCCTACCTCTCTGTAAAAAAAAAAAAAAATCAATAAAATATATTTAAAAAAATGTTAGGGCAAATACTTATACATGAGTGTTCATAGCAGTTTATTTGTAATAGTAAAAAACTGAACCCAAATGCCCATCGATGAGCAAATTGTGGCATATATATCCAATGGAATACTTAGCACAAAAAGAAATGGAATACTGACACACATGGTAATACAGGTAAGTCTCAAAATAAGTGAAAGAAACCTGACCAAAAAAGAGTGCATTCTGTATGATTCCACTTAATAAAATCTCTAGAAAATGAAAACTACTCTATAGCGACAGAAAGCAGACTGCTGGGAGGGGGCTGTGGGAGGAGAGGGAGGGGTTACCAAGGGAAGGAGAAAACTTTTGGGGGTTGCTGCATGTGTTCACTATTTTGACTGTGGTGATTTCATGGTTGTATGCATATGACAAGACGTATCAAATCGTATGGTTTTAGTATTTGCTAATTCTTGTATGTCTTTTATGCCTCAGTAATGCTGTTTAAAAAAAAAGTGTCCGTACTTGCTACTTGTGAGGGCTGGACCCAAACGAGTCCCTTACAGGTACATCCAGGTCGCAGTCATGCATTCTGAAGATTTCATATATTTCAATCGGGTCTTGGCTCAAACAGGAAGCCCTCTCCCGCTACCTTAACCATCCCCTCGGCCAGCCACCATTTTCTCACATCTGAACCTTTTTTTATTGTTAATCCTCACCCGATATTTTTCCCATTGGTTTTCAGAGAGTGGGAGGGAGGGGGGAGGGAGACAGAGAGAAACATCTCTCACACAGATTGGTTGCCTCCCACATGCGCCCCAAAGGCCTGGGACCCTTCAGTCCGTGGGCTGCCGCTCTATCCACTGAGCCAAACCGGCTAGGGCTCATACCTGTACCTTTTCTTCCAAGCATCTTAACCAAGTCGCATGTCTCACCAGTCTCAATTCTCTTCCTAATTCCCCCTTTATTCCCAAGAACACAGTACTAGCTTCCCTACCCTGATGCTCTGCGGCTCACTCCCCACTCCATCTCAGTCCTTCTTTCCACCTTGATCCCTTGGTCATGAGGGCTGTGCTGGCAAGCAAACTTTTAGAAAGCGACACTATGGCCTTGCTTTTTATATATATACTAGAGGCCTGGTGCACAAAATTTGTGGACGGGGGGGTGGGGGTTCCCTCAGCCCAGCCTGCACCCTCTTGTAGTCTGGGACCCCGCGCTCCTTACCACCTGCCTGCTTGTTGCTCCTTACCACTCAGCTCACTGCTCCTTAGCACTGCTGGAGGTGGGAGAGGCTCCCGCCACCACCCCTGTGCTCAAAAGCTTCTGGCTGAGCAGCGCTCCCCCTGTGGGAGTGCACTGACCACCAGGGGGCAGCTCCTGCATTGAGCATCTGCCCCCTGGTGGTCAGTGAGTGTCATAACAACCAGTCATTCTGCTGTTTGGTTGATTTGCATATTAGCCTTTTATTATATAGGATACTAGAGGCCCGTTGCACAGATGGGGTCCCTGGCCTGGTGGGCAATAGGGGCCCAATTGGGCATCTCGCCCAGTATTGATCAGGCTGATCCGGCCGGCCAGCTGGAGGGACCACGGGAGGTTGGCCGGCAGCAGGAGGTTGGCTATGGGAGCACACTGACCACTAAGGGGCAACTCCTGTGTTGAGCATCTGCCCCCTGGTGGTCAGTGCGCTGTCATAGCAACCAGTTGAAAGGGTTGCTTAGGCAGATCCTATATAATAAAAGCCCAGCAACTGACCAAGTCAACCAGTGGCTACAATGCCTACTGACCACTAGGGGAAGATGCTCAACACAGGAGCTGCCCCCTAGTGGTCAGTGCGCTCCCACAGGGGGAGCACCACTTGGCTGACCAGGCTGAGCCGCTGATCCTCGTAGGAAAGTCCCCACCAGTGCACAAATCTGCCTGGGGCCTCTAGTATCTATAATAATAAAAGAGTGATATGCTAATTAGACCGGACCTCCTTCCTGACAAAGCCTGAGTCCCAGGTGCTGGAGGGAAGCCGACGCTGTCAGCTGGTGGCAAGAAGGCCTACTGTTGCACAAATTTTCGAGCATCAGGCTTTTAATGTTTATATACATAATTTCTATTTTACTTCAGACAGGAAGGGATGTGCCCTTGCCCGGAATCAAACCCGGGACCCTTCAGTCTGCAGGCCAAACCGGCTGGGGCCCCTCTGGCCTTTCTTGATGGCAGAAGAGACAAGCGGCTGTCTTCCCAGGAATGCGGGACTAACCGCCAGGTCTCCCGTTGTCCCGGCCGTGAATGCGGTCCCACAATCAGAGAAGCCCGCACCGGGGACGGCTCCCACCCGCCCACTGCGTCCCTGGGGGCGGCCCTGGGCCTGTTCGCAAGGCCCCCACGGGGCTCCGAGGCCCCGGGGGCAGGGGGGGAGG